GAAAATTCCCGACAGCTCATTCCAAAATGGTATTTCTAGAGGAAAGCTTGCCTGATTCACACTGTCACCTGTGGGCCAAACGAGTGAGAGACCTGGCAGAGATTTTCTAAATCACTTGATCCACTTTGAAGCAATTCCACTTGCTAAATAGAATTTACAAAGAGCTGAGAGTCCAAAGTAATAACAGAATTAAATATGTGAGGAGAATTCACATAGGGGTGGGCTATTAATAAAATATGAGTTTAGCATTTTATAAAGAGAAATCTTTTCAATTATTAGTGTTGTAATGTAAGATGAAAAGTTAATCTTTTTTACTAAAAACAAACACACTGGTAGATGATCAAAGACAGATTCCCGGCACTTTTAAGTTTTTTCATATTTAAAAGCTTTATAAACTTTTATTTCTTTAAATAATAAAATCTTGCAATGAAACAGTCATATGATCTCAGACAAGGAAGAGAGACCAAGGCCTGATGCTCTTACCTCCATGTCTTCCCTCTGCTCACTGTTTTCTTCATCTTGGCCTCCGTTTTTTGGCATATAGGCCATTTTCAATCGCAAGAATCCCTTAACTCGAGATTTATGACTGTATGATAGAAGAACATTGGTTATAAAGGATATGGCTTGGTTATATCTTTCATATTTATGATGACTTTTAAAAAAGGTAAAACAGGAGAAGTTGCTAAATCTTCCTCAGAGAAAACCAATAACCAAGGCATAATGGAACCCTGCCCCTGAGGCCTCACCTTCTTGGTCTGAGGAGAAAGTCCTTAAACGTGTAGGGTCGCTCCATGGTTGGGTCTTCTGTCTGCAGGAAGAAAAAGTAAGTTTCAATACCCCTGAGATATTGTATTGTTAGGTACACCAGACTGGATTACAGAGAGTACATTTTCATTTTAGAATGTGGGAACAGCAAAGACAGAGTCGGTTCCTCAATCAGTTACTTGGACAATTATTTAACATTTTATAGGTCCCAGACTTTAGTCACTCAAGATCCACTAGATGTCACTATCAACATCTGTTTTTAGGAGCCAACCCGGCCTTAGACAAATGACAAAACTATAGTGGTCAATGCCAAGCATAATTCTTAACTGCAGGGTGGAGGCCTCAATCTCACATACTGGTTAACGTCAGAGAACCAGTGGTCATCCAAGAAACCTAAAGATGGAGTTAACAGGAAAGTATGCAAGATCTAATCTGTGAAGGGAACAATTTTACTTTAACACTGTCATCAGCCTAGACAAATGAAAGATTATCTCCTCCACAGAGATCGTCCTAGGTGGCACCATCAATCTATCTTTTGCTGCTGCTTATTTCATGAAGCTATGAATGCAATTGTAACATTTACCGATTTTTCAAAGAAATCAAAAGATCGTGCTTAATCAAAGCAAGCAGGAAATTAGAAAAATAAATGTTATCATTTCATTAAATAGTAAAATATCAAAAACCTAGGTTCTTTAATGAAACACAATTTGGAATATTTACTTCTGTAACAAAAGAGACCACAATACCATGATTTTTTTTTGTATGTGAGGGGTATGTGTGTGTATGCATTTATATTTGAAATTAGTGACCTGGTGCACAGATTCGTGCACATTGAAAGGAAATTAATTAGAAGGTGGCCGGTGGGGCGGGTCTGGGCGGGGCGGGACTGGGCAAGAGGGGCGAGATATGCCCTGGAGCCAACCTCCCACAGGTCCCTCCCCACTGTGGCTCAAAGGGTGTCTGCACAGTGAGCCAGGTCCCTCCGGCAGGTGGGGTCCCTCGGCCTGGCCTGTGGGGATTGGGCCCAAACCAGCTCTCTGACATCCCCCAAGGGGTCCCGGAGTGTGAGAGGGCACTCTGCAAAGTTGCTGTTGTACAGGGTGTGGAACTCAAATGCAAGTGTGCAATAAACCAGATTCAGGGCCAACAGTGCCCCAGCAACAACATACCCCACGGCCTAAGGTGGAATTGCAGGGCATATATATATGTTATCTATTTGTCATTCCCTGCTTTAGGCTGCCAATGGTTTCTTCCTTTGCTTATAATAAACTGAAAATTATTTCTATGCCTTCAAGGTCAAACAGGGTCTGGCTGGTAATTACCTATAACCTCACTGTAAACCATTTGACTTATCCTCTCTTGGCTGCTATTTCAATCACTTTGTGTTGCCCAAGAGTCAGAGGAGGGGTGGAACAATATGGAAAAGCAAAGCTGGAATATGAGGTGACCTATTGCTCACCAAGGCCTCCAGGTCTTGTCCCCACAGTCTGTCTATATTTCCTCAGGGGCATCTCTAACCTCGGTTATTTGTCAATAGATCTAAGTGTTTTGCTGCTCATCTGAGCAGAGGGAAATGGTAGCTACACCACACATGCTAACTCCTATTTCTAAAGCTGAGTGACAAGTTCACTCAGAAGCAACAGCATCTTTTGTCTGTGCTGACTGAGAAAGCCATATAGCAAATTCTGGGCACCACCAGCTTGTAGAGATGTAGGCCACAGAAATAGCATATGCAGTTCTAGACAAAGGGAACACATGTTTCATTAGATACAGAGGATGAATTTGAAAGCAAAAACACCCCAGTGACTAGGAGGGGTCTGACAGAGGAAGGGAGCTGTTTTGCATGAATTGACAAAGGAAGACGAAAGAGCAGAAGAGCAAGATGCAGGTGACATTGACTGGCATACTTGGAGGTTCAGATACACTTGATTCTTTCCTATCCCCATGAAAAGACCACTTTCTGAGGGGGGGGGGTACCTAGGGCTCTTTATTTCAGCCTTCTCCACTGTGTTGAGAAAATATTACTCTGAAAATATATCCAGCTGCAAACAATGAGAAGTCACTGCTCACAACAGGCTCACAACAGGCAATAGAAAGCAGATAACCATCCTCACCGGGAGATGATTAAGGGGCACGTCCACCTGTCCCAGGAAGTCGTCTCGTGTCTGTTGAGAAGAGAGCAGAGAGTTAATGTTCTCATTGATTTCAGAGTGTCAGCATTCTTAAAACATTTCTTTACAGACAGAGACAAAGGTCCAGGGGCCTGACACTATGGTGCCATGGGGATGGGTCAAGGCAGATGGCCCAGATAGCTGTCATCTGGGAGACAGGTGAGCCCAGGCCCCATACACCTAACATTTAGATGCCTGAGGCTTTATGGGGTGTCCACTACCCAAGTCTCAGCAAACTGTGCTCTCTCAACCTCGACTGTGGAGAGCTACCATCCCAGTATCTTACTGGTGGACTGCCTTGCTTTCCCTGCCTGGTACTGAGATATGAGACCGAAGATTACTAGGTTAAGGGCCTGGACTCAAACCAGCCTACCTAGATAGGAGCCTGGAGCAGGTCACAGGTCTTCCTGGTCACCAGGCTCCCCACTAACGAAGTAGGCCTATTAATACTAATAGTGCCTATATTCTCTGGTTGCTATGAGGACAAGGTGTGGTCTTGGCAGAGCCTGCTTCGCTGTTGTGGCCCGACATGGCAGGTGCCTCTTCTGGTATCTGAACAAAGCTGAGACATTTGATTAGTTTAGAACAGGTGATAGGTCATCTACTGAACCTGAGGACCATATGATTGTCAAGAAAGTATCACTCAGGTTGATCGAGACTTGGGGGTCATAGCTGGACCAATTTAAAGAGAAGATAGTAAAGACATGTTGGGAACACTTTAACAAATACAGGTGTGGCAAAAGGAGGTTGACAGTTGTTCATCTGGAATATTATAAAATAGTTAATAATAATGTAAGCATAAACTGTGTCTTACATACTTACAACTATAAGCCTACTTTTGCCCACCCGGAATTTATTGATCAAGTGCTATAAACTAAAGAGCTCCCTGAGAGCTGAGAGTCTAGGG